TATTGATCTAATTTGGATTCTTTCGCACCATGAGTTGTGGTTGTTGCTGTTACTGTTGCCTCACAGTGAGAAGATTAGCAGTCTTTGAGTGAGTGTGTGTGTTTAAAAACATGCAGGATCACGTCAACTGTTCACACTTACCTGACCATAGGTGTGAATGACGGTGTGAATGGTTGGACCATCAGTAGTTCTAATGATCTGATCTTTATGTTAAAAGGGCTGGGCAGATCCTAGTATCAGTATCAGACGTGTAAAACTGGTATTAACAGCTATTACTAATTTTAACAGCTCAAAGTTAGCTAGAAAAAAAAAGCCAAGTATTAAAAAAGAGAGTAGAGTACTAGTTAACAGTCAAAAAAAAAAGTTAATCTCAGAGCGTCATTTTAATATTTCCCTCTCGGCGTCTTTGTTTCATTTTTTTAATGCCATTAGTGATCTGGGGTCATTTCAAATCTATGCTTGAATCGATTCAAACCAGCCTTTACTGTAATGCTACTGTGACATTCTGTTCTCTAATTCTGTTCATGAAAAGTTGCCTGATTGATTGATCAAAGACAAAGAAGTCTTTCCCACACTGAGCTTCCTGTGACACGACACCCACTTATTCATCTATCTACAGACATCAAGATCTCGATAAAATCTGTCTGTCTCTTGTTTTTTTTTTTAAATCTCACATTTGGTTTGGTTTTGTCCATTGACGACACGGTCCATTGATGAAGGGACCGGAACTGAGAAAGATCTGTTTGTGTTTATATTTATATCTTCATGGTGATAGAGCTGTGGCCTCATCCCCAAAAACCCCCGTGGTTCGACCTTCCATCGCCGTCGCAGCGATCTGTCATATTAATGAGTTCGGCGTCACGAGGGGCAACCAGTCCTTAGAAGTGAGCCACTTAGACCAACCGGTCTCTATCGCCCTACTTTACAAAAACCCCCAGCAGACGGCGACTGGGTGTGACCTCTGCGTCTGGAGCCGCGCTGCACAGTAATCTCGCACAGACCTTGAGGAAAACATATGAGCCCATAAAAAAATAAATAAACTACCCATCCCAGAATCCCCCGCTACATCCATCTTCCTGCTGCCACCTGAAACGGGAGCTCGCAGTAAGGTGACCCCACACCGTGAAGGAACAAGGAGGGCCATGTCACTTTGTGAAAACCTCCGCTCAACCATCTGCCACGGCCATAATGGAGCTGGAAGCAGGTGAGAGCGGGCGCAGAAAGACAGAGCGCTCCAGTCTGCTCCGGCGTACAGTCTGGCTCTGACCTAGCTGTGACCTCCGCTTGAAAATGGGCCATTTCTTACATCCAATTGCATCCATTACATTGTCCTTGAGAATAAGAGAATTTGAGGCATGAAAATCAACACAAAAGAGACGAGAGGCATGAAATTCTCCGGGGAAGTGGGAGCTTATGCAGCACAGTGGGAGCCATTGTGCTGTAAACTTTTCCCCCCTGGAATCAGCTTCATGCCTGAGTTTCTGCAGCCTCTGCAGCCAAGACCACATCCCAACACAACAAGACGTGACGGACACGTCCAGCCTTTAACCGTGTGATCGCTCGGAGAGGCAGAGTGTCAGTGGGCAACAGTGGAGATTGACTCAGGCAGATGTTTCTTTTGTCATGTTCACTGTACAGAGTCTCTCCTCCATCTACAGTCGATGACTGGAGGGACACCAGTTTGTCCTGTGGATTAACGTGTTTTTCAACACTTACATGGACACGTCATTTACACACACTGCGGGAAAATGTTTATGCTTTATTCAAGCATCTCGTTCATACAGGAGGTCCTAGACTTACGTCAGAGTTCCGTTCCTATGGTGCGACGTAACTCGATTTTCACCGTATATCTCATATATAGTTCCGTTCCTATGGTGCGACGTAACTTGATTTTCACCGTATATCTCATATATTGTGGGGCTTCAAGATACCAGCTACCCGAAATACGAGTTTTTCAAGTTATGAGTAACTTACGAGTGCTGCGAAATATTATTTTAATGCCACATTTCGGAATAAGTCTTTCCTAATAATTTTATGGGAGATTGTGACGTAACCATGAAATGCTGTGGGTGGAGGATGTCGTAAACCAAGAACCCTGTGTAGAAGTCTAAAAAAACGGCCATTTTTATAAAGCTAAACTCTGAGATTTTTTTTTTTACATTTCCACATACACCTAGCTACTGTCATCTCTTTCTGTTGCAGCAATTTAAGAAAAAAAAATCAAAAATCTTAAGTCTGCCTCGTCGCAGGAAAGACTTTGCGTAACAGCTGAACTAAACCTAACCTATTCTTCACTCTACATGAACAGCGTTAGCCTCGGCGTGTTGAAATAAACCAGCGACACGTGTTTGTTGGCTTTCCATTTTTATTTAAACCCCTTTTCTCAGATAAATGATACATGTTATAATATAAAGCCAAATTCCCACCTGGGAACAACCTCAGTAAAGTACCGTGTCTTTTTCCCCCCCGTTAGCTGAAGTTCTTCCACTACTACTATAGTTAACATTTACAGGGGACTAAAGAATACAAAAAACAATGATAAGGAAAATAAATAATTTAACACAAAGTCCTTTAACATGATAAACATGCAGATAAAGTGACAAAAATCGAACAAAATTCACCTCTTATGGAGCACTACAGAAGCCCGGTGCCTCGCCCCCCGCTGGTGCGTTCGCCTTACGACACCCAACACAACAAGACGTGACGGACACGTCCAGCCTTTAACCGTGTGATCGCTCGGAGAGGCAGAGTGTCAGTGGGCAACAGTGGAGATTGACTCAGGCAGATGTTTCTTTTGTCATGTTCACTGTACAGAGTCTCTCCTCCATCTACAGTCGATGACTGGAGGGACACCAGTTTGTCCTGTGGATTAACATGTTTTTCAACACTTACATGGACACGTCATTTACACACACTGCGGGAAAATGTTTATGCTTTATTCAAGCTTCTCGTTCATACAGGAGGTCCTAGACTTACGTCAGAGTTCCGTTCCTATGGTGCGACGTAACTCGATTTTCACCGTATATCTCATATATAGTGGGGCTTCAAGATACCAGCTACCCGAAATACAAGTTTTTCAAGTTATGAGTAACTTACGAGTGCTGCGAAATATTATTTTAATGCCACATTTCGGAATAAGTCTTTCCTAATAATTTTATGGGAGATTGTGACGTAACCATGAAATGCTGTGGGTGGAGGATGTCGTAAACCAAGAACCCTCTGTAGAAGTCTAAAAAAACGGCCATTTTTATAAAGCTAAACTCTGAGATTTTTTTTTTTACATTTCCACATACACCTAGCTACTGTCATCTCTTTCTGTTGCAGCAATTTAAGAAAAAAAAATCAAAAATCTTAAGTCTGTCTCATCGCAGGAAAGACTTTGCGTACCAGCTGAACTAAACCTAACCTATTCTTCACTCTACATGAACAGCGTTAGCCTCGGCGTGTTGAAATAAACCAGCGACACGTGTTTGTTGGCTTTCCATTTTTATTTAAACCCCTTTTCTCAGATAAATGATACATGTTATAATATAAAGCCAAATTCCCACCTGGGAACAACCTCAGTAAAGTACCGTGTCTTTTTCCCCCCCGTTAGCTGAAGTTCTTCCACTACTACTATAGTTAACATTTACAGGGGACTAAAGAATACAAAAAACAATGATAAGGAAAATAAATAATTTAACACAAAGTCCTTTAACATGATAAACATGCAGATAAAGTGACAAAAATCGAACAAAATTCACCTCTTATGGAGCACTACAGAAGCCCGGTGCCTCGCCCCCCGCTGGTGCGTTCGCCTTACGACATTATTGGAAGTAAAAGAAAAGGACGAGGACAAGGCCGATAAATGGGACAAGAAGGAGGATGAAAGGAGGACGAAATGACGAGGATCGATTGTTATGGATTTCAGTTGTTATTTAGGGAATGAAATTACAGCGTCATTAAACTGTCCACCTGAGTGTGAAGTTCAGTCACAGATTTTATTTTTTGGGGGGGGGCTCATTGATTCGGACCCACTGTGTGCAGATAAACCTTAAACATTGAAACTGTACGAGAGAAATGGTCGTCACGTAATCAAACCTCCGACCCAGCAGAATCTTTATAACTCTGAAATTGATTTTTAACAAAAAAAGGTCATAAACAAACAACAGGTGTGTCAGAACACGACACTTCAACACAATATTCATACCTTATTTTAGTCCATTGCAGTAATCTGAAAACGTACCCCCCCACCATACCCTCCACACTGTCACAGTTTCTGCTTCAACTCTTCAAACAACTCTTTTTTTCAACAGTTCATTTCCTACAAAACTGCCGTTCTCATTGAATAAGTTCACTCTTGCCGTGCCCCTCACTTTGGAAACCACCAGTCCAATGAAAGAATATGACACATGTACATTGACACTAATACATGCTTAATGTTCTTTCTGTGTCCCTAAATTTACAACCAGCAGAGGCAGCGCTTCACTAAGCACTGACACAAACTAGTACTACATCTGTAACCCAGTCCCATGACGCCTTATATATTTAGTCCCTACATTTGGGTCCAGAGCCACCATTTGAGAAGCACTGCGATGAAAATGTTTAGTAAAAAAAAAAAATCTATAGCGTAGCGTGCATTTACTCTAAAAGTTGGTAATGTTACCGTCTTTCGAGGAAAAAAAAGTCGCAGCTTATATTCAGATTTTATGGACCGTCAGTATCGTAAAGATCAGGTGTACTTTTTTTAACATATATATACATATCTATATATTTAAATATGTAGACATACACATACATATATACATATACATGTATACATATATACATGTATACATATATATATATATACATGTATACATATATACAAACATATATATATACATACATATACATATATAGATAAATATACATATATACATATATATTTAAATATGTAGATATACACGGGCACGCCTGATCGACAGTCCTTTTAGATATATATATATATATATACACATATACATGTATACATATATATAAAAATGCACACACGCACTTATTCCGACTGTTCAGTGCAGTCTAATGTGATGCATTTTCAAACATCCATTGAACCTAACTACGGGTTGGGGGGAGGGGTGGGGGGCCTTATATGGTGCGGCTTTATTTTCATGAAATACTGCAGTCATTCAGTGCAGCAGTAAAAGACCCATGTGATCACTGTTTCCTGGGGGCATTTCTAACAATTGACCTTTTTTTAATGAGCCAGAAAGAAAATAAAAAAGCAGGATTATCCATCGCAGCCATCCTGAGCTCCTGATAAAAACGGACGGTTTTTACAGAAGAGGCGAAACCAGCGTGTGACGCGAAGGCCGGTGTTAAACAGGTGTTTACGACAGGAACATGGCTGCACGGGAGACGGAGCTGCTGTGTGAAATGTTAACCAGTGTATGTGAAGCTTCGCTTCGCGGAGCATGAGCCGAGGACCCAGCGGAGGAACCAGAGGAGGAACCAGCGGAGGAACCAGCGGAGGAACCAGAGGAGGAACCAGAGGAGGAACTAGAGGAGGAACCAGAGGAGGAACTAGAGGAGGAACCAGAGGAGGAACCAGCGGAGGAACCAGCGGAGGAACCAGCGGAGGAACCAGCGGAGGAACCAGCGGAGGAACCAGAGGAGGAACCAGAGGAGGAACCAGAGGAGGAACCAGAGAAAGGTGTTGCATAAAAAGAAAAACCTTTCTGTACAAGGTCGAGGCACTTTCAAAGCCATGTGTACACACTTATAAAGGGTGATGCACACACACACATACAGACACACACACACACACTGGAAGGAGATATGCCGTCGGCTGCAGCAGGTGTTTCAGCCGGAGTCCATGCTGAACAGCTCGATGCCTTGTGGGCTCCAGTGGAGACCCACACCAGAGTTGAAGACCAGGGACCAGACGTAAGGGATGAAGAAGTCTTCCGGCTGATCTTCCTCCACGTACTTGAACTTCAGCTCAGGAAATTTCTGTTCACACAAACACACAAAGAAGAATGATGTGACATGTGACCCTTCCTCAGGTAGGGTCCACGGTGGTCAGCTGTAACCCGGTCTGGCTGTGAGATAACTTTGGTAACAGCTGTTTGGAGACATTATCGCTCCCCGACCCGACCGCTGACCTTTTAAAAATGTGGCTAATGTGTTAATGTCTCCTCTTAAACCCAGGAGGCAACTGGATATGGAGCTCTTGCTGTGCTGTTACGTGGACAAACAGCTGAGTGACTGCACTGCCTCTCATATCATTTCCATAATGTATCAGTCAACCCTGGAGCAACGTGAAGCCTTTGAGAATCTTTTTTTTTTTTTTCCCGAAAAAGTAAAAATTATTAGTTTTATTTTATTTTCAGGTTCATCGAAGACTTTTAAAATTTTTAAGGGTGAGAATGCGCAAAACAGAAATGTCAAATGCCCAGAACACAAGGAAAGAGACTTGGACAAAGGTGCTTTCACTTTGATTAGCGTATTTTCTGGAATATAAGTCGCTCTGGAGTTTAAATTGCACCAGCCAGCTAGAGCGCCCTCTAGCGGCTGTCAGTGTGAAAAGAACAAACATGTCAATTTTCAGTGGTACAGCAGTAGCAGATACTAGTACACAACCCAAGAGTGCCCTCTAGTGGCTGCCAGTGGGAAAAAAACAAACGTGAAATTATATATTTCAATATAGTGTTGAAGTCGCACATGGGCAAACCCAGCTAAAGAATGAAAAAAAAAAGAAAAAAAAAAGGTGCGACTTATAGTCCGGAATATACGGTAAGAACAGTGTTGCTGTGCATTTATCACAATCAACTATGATGAATTCATGATTATTGACAATTAATCATGAATTCAATCCATTTGACAACTGTGTCAGTCAGCCCGTCAGTCGTAGACTTACTGACTGCCCTGCTCTCCATGACCTGAGGCTGAAGCCTCCACAAACACATGCCGACGCTGAGCTGGTATTTAAAACTCAAGGTGCTGTGGTGAAATGAAAATGTTTTTTCCTGCAGCGTGTTTAAATAACAACATTCGTATTGACCGTCTATTACGTCATTCTGCTAATGTTTTAAACTGTCTTAACACATTCCGATTAATCGCACAAATTAATGAACACTATTAAACTTTATTTTGACAACCCTAGGTTTCAGCCATTGATTTTGGCTGATGGAAAGCACTGGAAGTTTAAGCTTTAAACTTAGTTGTTGACTCAATTTATGTCAATTACTACTCAATTTGAACACTGGAAATTTTTTCTTCATCTGAGTTTAGCCGGTAGGTCAGAAGAACAGGAGGACCAATGGATGAAGATTGTTGAGATTTTTTTTGAATAAGTCAATGCTCTTTCTGGTCTAATGAATTAATTACCAACTCATTTTTAGATCGACTTAAAAAGCCTCCTGTTGAAACGGTGTACATTTGAGCTGCTAACAGACAACACAAGCTCATCGTCAAGACCGCAGCTTCTGCCAGCCCACCTAACAGCAGGCGGGTAGCAGTGGAAGAGCATCAATAATACAAGGGAGCCTCATTATATCCCCCCTGTCTGCACATGCATGTAAATGCACACATGCAGCCCGTAATCAGTCTGCGGTGAAAGACAGACGCTGTGGGCCTTTTATAAGACGCTCCCGGTCGCTCTATTGAGTCCTCTCTGCCTGGGCTCACGGCCATATTAATGGTATCATATTGACATAGACACAGTGGCTGCAGGGTCACAGGCCATATGCCAGGCTGCTGAGGCCAGACCACACACACCAGCTCCATTGTGACAGCCAGACAAAATGCAGCAGCGCTATTATCTGACCGCTGTTTGTGTGGAGGTGAATGTGTCTCGCGGCGTACCCGCTCATCAAATAATCATTTGACACCGTCGGTGACAGTTTCTAGAATCGGTCAGACTCACTTTTACCTGAGTGTGTGCATTAAGTTACACACGCTGACCCCGGTGTATGGTTTGAAGATGGAAAAAGGATTTAGCAGAACAAACAAGCAGAACGCAGCAGAAAAGCAGCCCAGCCTTCTGTCCTGCCTTAATCACCACCAAGATAATAAACATCAAACATTATGCTGATGATGTGATTAAGTTAATTGAAACATAAATCAGAATATACTGCAATGTTTACATATTTATACAACATATTTACATGTAGAAAAACAACCCGTAGGAATTGAAGGTTCCTTATTATCTTGTGACTAAATGTGCAATCGCTCTGAAGGCTCTCAGTGTATGTGATGTTATGTTAATGTGAGCAGGATGGGCAATGTGATAATTATAGGCTATCGTTTCACGACAAGTGGAACATAAGTCACAATGAACATATATACAATAACCACACACTTCAAGCTACTATGGAGGCCGGTTGATCAAGAAAAACTCCTGGAGGTTTTCAAATGTTCTTTCCTAATGAGAGTAGAGCTGTGAATATGAAACCAACTTCCTCTTGACCTCTCAGTATAGTTTACAGAGTTGATGAGACCAATGAGTCCTTCACCTTCACCAGCTTAAACTTTTTTTAAAATATTTTCAGGGGTAGCATTGGGGCTGGAGCCAATCACTCCTATTTTTTTTCTTTTTAAATGTAGTGGGTGCGGCTTATATTCAGGTGCCGTCAATAGTCCGGAAATGACGATATAAAGACACACAAAATTCGGTATGTAAAAGTGTCTGTATATGTCGATGACGATGAAGGTTATTTTTCCAATGGTGAAACAACTGGTGATTTTTTTTTTGATGATGAAGTTGTTTTTTCTTCCATTAGTTTAAATTGGGTTTGAGGAAATAAAAGATAAACTACAGACATCCTTCCTCGGTGACACAGGATGTTAGTTTGATATTACACTAGTGAAGGAGACAATTCGTCATCTCGTAACGTGCTGGAAGACAGAGTATGTGAAAATGATGCATCGTGTGTCGCATCAACAAACATCAGTCACCCAAATGAGCGTTTCCCCTGACAAGTGTTTACTGGAGAAGAAATTATGAGCCCAAACTACAGGAATATTAAGTCCCCCGTGCAACTTAAACCATTTTCACAGGATACTGAGAGCAAAAAATGAAAAAATAAAAAGAATAATGACGTCTGAATCACAGTGGCCTCAGTTTTTCCCTTGTTCTTTTATTCTGGACAGGAGACACCCAGGGATTTGGAGCGATGGGAAGTCTGGTATATCACTACATTTAGGACACACCGCACACAATAAATGTCGCCTACGTGCTCTGGTGTGTGCTGGGAAAAATTAGAGCATCTCACATCCTAATTTAATCTTTGTCCCCGAGTCTGCTCGTACTGCAGTTTCCTCTTTTCCCGTGGCTCTCTTTTCAACCGTCTCCTTCTGCTCTCTTCTATTTTGTTCCTAGTCTGGCAGCTGTCTGGGCCTGATTTGGCCTGGGTTCATATCAGTTAGTTATGGGTCCTGGTGGGTCAGGCCCTCACCCCTGAACACAGACTGACTGGCTGGCCTCATATCTCCACTCAGGACTCTGTGTTCCCTTTCCTCACTCTAGTTGCTGCTGTGCTGTCAGAGCTGGGCCAGACAGAAAAGAATGCGGCCAGGGAGCAACCATAAACTACACACACACACAAACATCCAAAGACTGTGTCCAAAAAAGTCCAACATCTTTGATAAAGGTCTTGCTCGTTAGTGGGAAATAACTGTTGTACTTTGTTTACTTAGAAGATTTTGTAATTGTCGTCTGCTTTTATTGCTTCATTATTTCAATTGGTGTCTAGCGGCACTGCTGCTGATGCACCTGCCCCGGCTCTCCGTCTACCGTGCGTTAAAGCCTCCCTTCACGCCTGTCTTTGTCTTGCTCTCCCTGCTCATGTTAGGTTAATCTAAAATTCCAAAGGTTAATTGGAAACTCTTAATTGCCGTGAGGTGTAAATGTGAGCGAGTTCAGTGGCATTTATGTAAACCATGTTCATTTGTCCTTTTGTTTTTTTGTGATGATACAGATGAGGGGAGAACTCTTCTCACAACATTCATCAAACAAACTCTCCTCAGTGTTGGCAGATTCTTGATCTTCATGTGCAAAGATCTGTAATGTTTTGGACGGAACTGAGGATTTTAGGGGTTTTAAAAATATTAAAAAGAAAAACAAATCATTCAAGTCAAATATTCTGTCACTTTTGTGCAAACAAAAGTATGCAGATAGATATCGTATGAATTACTGTCATATTAACATTCAGGATCTAAAGATGGAACACAGAGGAAAGTTGCTGCTCATCGTGGACTGTCTTAACCCTCAGATGTTCATAGTTTCCAGATGACAACACTAACCGACTGCTCATCCACTCAACTTTTTGTCTTCTGCCAGCCGGAAGTGCACATTGGTGTTTTGACTGCACGAACTTCATCAAGGGAATGTTAATCTGAGTAGACGTGGGAGCAGATTAATCCAAGAATTTGGATTGTGATCATTTACTCAAATTCAGCCTCTTAACTGTAAACACTTAAAGGCACTTAAATCGCAAACTCAAGCCAATGAGTCAGTGACACTTGAGGCATATTGCTAAAAAAAATAAAATAACAACAACTAAAGTTTATGATAGAAAAAAAGAAAAAACGAGCAAACATGAACTTAATTCTATTTCCTAATTTAAAAAACCCAACGTTGTCCGTATCACAGTAAATATAAAACCTGCTTCAAGGTAAACTTGACACAATGGGAAGAGAGTTAGCCTCGGAGCTAATGTTAGCGTCTGCCCTGAAGGTAAAACAGTGTGTGCAGGAGGTAAAGAAAGTCATTTTTTTTAGTGTATTTTCAAATAACATACGTAGCCTCGGTCTTTGCATTGTCCTCC